ACAAGGGTAAGGTCTGCGTACAACTGACCTCCCAGACCCCAACCTGTTGGGAATATACTGGTTATGTTGATGATGATGACGTTAGAATTTTTTAAACTTATGACGATCAACGAACAAAAATGATGTATGATTTATTTACGATTAACCAATAAGATAGTCGTGCCAAGTTTGTATATGAAAATTTACTTCATTTTTCAACCGACGGGTCTGCTAACAAGAAGAGCTTTTTTGACGAGATACATCTTATACAAATCCAACGATTAAATTTGATTAGTGCTCAAACAAAATTGACAAATATCTAATTTTGTTGTACTTCAAACCAAAATCGAATGTTACATTTTGCCAGACTAATTTACAAATGTGTTCGATATAACTTTGGTGGTCAGTAGCAGCTAACACTTCCAAAATGGATAGTGCAAAAAAAAAAAAGGTCACGGTCTACAATTAATTCAACACCACTCGACTACTCAAACAATCCAAGTTAACAAATGAGCCTAAACAAAACAAGTTCAACAATTATAGTCCACAATTTCAATACCAAATTCACCAATTGCAATCATACAAACAATAAATCCCCTCTCCACCCAATTCAATCAAAATAAAGCAATGTCCCAATCTCCAAATCACCACCAAGATATATGAGTCGGAATTGAGCCTTCAGGGCCAAATTCAAGATATACGAGTCGAGATTAAGCCTTTAATAAAGACTTAATCTCGAATTGTACATCTTGAATTTTGCGAGGCTTAATCTCGACTCGTATAGGTTCAATTTGGCGGTTATTTGGAAATGACATTGCTTTATTTGATTGAATTGGGTAGAGATTTGTTATTTGTCTGATTGCTATTGGTGAATTTGGTAATGAAATTGTGGACTATAATTGTTGAATTTCTTATGTTTGGACTCGTTTGTTGACTTGAATTGTTTGAATAGTCGAGTGGTGTTGAAATAATTGTAAGTAAGCCGCGAAAGAAACAGAAGAATGTGGGGAAGGCGGGACCAAGTTTTGAGACAGTTCAAGAGCATTCGACGTCGGAAGACTCGAACTTCTCTAGCTCCGCGCCTTTCAAAGTTGTTAACGACACCGAGAGTCGTGTCTACATGGTCTCCGTGAGTCAAGGGTATTGCCACCGATGGTGTTGGACTTTCGCCTTTGCGAAAAACTCGAAATAGATGTCGATGGTAAGAAATATTTTCGATTTCTTCACTTGGAAAAATATGCTAAGATGGATTTTCACGCTTACACTAGTTTGACATTGGAATTCTATACGACGTTCCAACTTGTTGAAAATAGTTCGGTTGTCATTTGTTGACTTGGAGACAAGACAAGGAGTCGACTTCGATTTGATGAAGCGAGTGTTTGGTTTTGAATATACGGAAGCCGAGGTACCGTTGGAAGGATTTAATGAAAAGGAGGCGTGGTTGGAGATCTCCAAGTTACCGAAGCAAAAAGAGACTTGCTCAATAGTCTCATTAAGAATTATGTCATATCTATACTCCACAAATTTTTGAGTTACAGTGTTGTCGGAAAAAAAAAGGCTAAAAAGTTAAGCAATTATCAACTCTTCAACAGTCATTGTGTCATTCAGAAAAAACCCGTCAATTGTCTCTCTTTCATTTGGTCGAGCATAAATCCTATTCGTGACCCGAATATGTGCTATACTCGACCAAATCAAAGAGAGACAATTGACGATTTTTGTGTGAATGACACAATGAATGATAAAGGATTGGTTTTTGCATAACTTTTTATCTTTTTTTTCGAAAATATTGTAGCTCAAAAACTTGTGGAGAATCGATACAACATAATCCTTAATGAGACTATTGTGCAATTCTCCTTTTTTCCTTCAATAACCCTAAAATCTTCATCCATGCCTCTTTTTCATCAAATACTTCCAACGGTGCCCCGGCTCCCGTATATTCAAAATCAAATACTTGCTTCATCAAATCGGCATATAGCCTCCTCGCCTTGTCTCCAAGTCAACAAATGACAACCGAACTATTTTCAACAAGTTGGAACGTCGTATAGAATTCCAATGTCAAACTAGTGTAAAAGTGAAAATTCATCTTAGCATATTTTTCCAAGTGAAGAAATCGAAAATATTTCTTACCATCGACATGAATTTCGAGTTTTTCACAAAGGCGAAAGTCCAACACCATCGGTGGCAATACCCTTGACTCACGGAGACCATGTAGACACGACTCTCAGTGTCGTTCACAACTTTGAAAGGCGCGGAGCTAGAGAAGTCCAAGTCTTCCGACGTCGAATGCTCTTAAACTGTCTCAAAACTTGGTCCCGCCTTCCCCACATTCTTCTGTTTCTTTCGCGGCTTACTTACAATTATTTCAACACCACTCAATACTTAGATTGTTTGAATAGTTGAGTGGTGTTAATTAATTATAAGTAAGTCGCCAATTAATTTTCTGAAATACTAGTCTGAAATACTGGAATACTAGTCTAATATTTTCAAGTACAAAAATACTAGTTTGAAGTCTTGAAATACTAGTCTGAAATTAAATCTGATTGGACTATAATCTAACTGGACTTAAATATATCTGGAATTAAATCTAACTGAAATTTATCTCGCTGAAATTTATTGAAACATATCTAGATTTTAAATCTATCTGAAATTTATTTGAAATATATATGATATTTGAAATTCTATCTGAAATATATATAAGAAATTTCTCGAACCGTCCGCACTGTCTGGACTGATTTGGTTGATCTAAAATTCTCTTCGAACCGTCCGCACTGTCCGAACTGGTTCGACTGAACTAGACCGACGGCTCACTCAGAGCAGGTCGATCATTCGCTTAACTATGTGCAGCTCGATTTGACTGGTCCGAGTTCTGCGTGGAACTCAGTGTCGGCACGAACTCGGCTGACACGGGTTAGCCGGTGCACAAGTTTGAAACGGTGTCACGGTAACTGACGCATGGGCATGATTGGACCACGGCTACGGAGACGACGCGTAGACGATAGATCAGATTGACTCGTTGCACGGGCACGCACTCGTTGGTTTGACTCGAACTCGATGCACGTGCACGCACTTGGTGGTTCGACTCCAAATGTCGGACGAGAGTCGGTCACGTATGGGACGATGATACTTGTTACGGATTAACCCTACGTCGTTTAAAATTATTTAAACGATACTAGTGTTCGGTCGGTTAAACTCGAATCCAAATAATACCAGTTATCGAAACCGGATAAAACTAGAGTTTTTGATTCTCAAAAATCCTAACTCATTTAAGGCCGAAATTTAAATTATAATTTATATGTGATTTATAATGAATTTATAATCCACACATGCAGCTAAAATAGCAAACGGACTAATATCGCATTTTATCGGCTAAAGTCCCGATTTTTAATCTAAGTCAAACGACATCCAAAAGTCACGAAACTTAAAACACAGCATCCTCAACCTCCCTATTAGTTTATGGTCAAAGTATCAAGCCCAACAACTACAGCTAAGTCTCAACCGGATAATTTCTATTATTTTTCGCTTAAAGAGGTTAATGTCCCGAATTTTCAGGCATTTCAGATGGTCTCCCAAAAATCATGAAATTTTAACCACATCATATGCAGCATTTATAAGATTTATCCTAAAAAATTTCACAGCGGTCTTTAACTTATTTAGCAAAAATCGGGCATTTCGACTCCATATTCATAATTCTGATTAATATAGCAAACGAGCATCAAAATTCACGAAATTAAAACCTAGGCCTCAAGTAAGCTAGATATAATTTATCAACTTGGTTTCGCTTTTTTTTTTTCCAGGAAGCACACAATATTTACCGAATTTAATACCATTTAAACCGATAAATTCAAAATAAATCATCTTATGCTCGAAATCACCTCTCATCATTTTTAAAATTAATCTAAAGACTTGTCTAATGCCATGGTGGAGGGTTTAGGCCATATACCTCTTAAACGAACTCAAAATAAAAATCGGAACTCAGACTAGAAAGAGGGAAAAGTGACAAAACTTGTGTTGTGTGGCCGTCCCGATTCCACCGCTCGACTCATTGGCAGCGGAAGCTTCGGTTTGAGCTCGTCTGACCGCTTTCAATCCTTCTTGTTCGGTCCACCCGGACAGCCCTCTTTCAGTCCCGAAGATGCTGCTAAGCTTCAGGGAGCTCCTGGTCTGCTCACTTCTCAGTCGGGCTGGTCCAAGAACTCCCTTACTGGCCCGTTTTACCCCATTTTCAGCAAGAAAGCAAACACATTTAAATGGCAACAATAAACAGGAATAATAGATAAAATACACTAAGTATTATGCTGGAAAAAGAAAACAAAAGAGAAAGGAACGAAAACCCCCTATCGACCGAACAATTGACGAAGAGAGACACGAAGTCAGCTCAGATGGTCCTTCTTTCCGGCATCCTCGGTAAGTCTCGGCGACCCCGGTTCTTCAGCCGGCTCCCCGGGCTGCACCTCCTACACACGAGCCACACACTCGGCCACTCCGTAGCAAAGCCTCTCCTTCACATAGAAGCTCGCCGGAAAGCACCTCGCAAGGGCTTGAACCGGCGAATGGAGGCTAGGCGACGGAGCAGCGGCACGATGGCGGCAAAAAGGTGGTTCTCCGCAGGTCGGTTAGCTCACAGCTCTCACACACAAAGGTCACACTGTAAAGCGAGAGAGAGTGAGAGATCGATCAGTTTTTCCAATCTCAGAGAGAGAGAAACGGGCGCAGCAGCGAGAGAGAAGTGAGAGTGAGTGTTCTGAATCCAACGGAAGGTTATATGGTGTGTAATGGAAGGTTATGATTTAATCTCTAAATCCAACGTCTCTAATTAATTTGCCACTTGTGTGTAAGAGGGCCAGGCCCAGACGAGATTGGGCCGGGCATACTTGGGCCTGAGATAAGGATTGGGTTTTGGGCCAAATTCCCAACAACTTGAATCTGGCCGAGTTGGGCAAAGTTGACTTGGTCTGGCCGGATCTGAGTTGAGAGGTGCGAATCAGGTCTGAGTCTGAGCTGAGCCGCCTGGGTATGGTGCGTTAGGGTCGGGTCTGAGGTAGGGCGTGCTCGTCGGCGCGATTCCGCCGTGAGTCGACTCGGCGACGCAAGCTTGAGCTGAGGACGTGCGATCGATTGCTTTGGTTCGCCGGAAAATGGGTCGCCGGCGGACAGAGCTGTTGCAAGTGACGGCGGCGAGCTTGCTGGACGGCGACAAGAGAGGCTCGTCGTGGCCGTGCTTTTTCCGGCGAGGAGCTGGAACCGGCGTGTTTGAAGGCGGACTCGACGGGAAGAGCTGCGGCTCGACGGGGTTCACTGTTGGTGAGCTGCTCCAGCGAGGCGTAAGCTGTGGTAGCCAGAGAAGCGCGACTTAGGCTCGAGCTGGCACCGTGGCGTGAAGGTGCAGCGGGAGCTGGTCCATGAAGGTGACGCGGGAGCTCGGCTGGACATGGGTGAACCGCGGCTGTGGTCGGTCGCCGGCGCCTAGTCGGGAGTTGGAAGTGTGGTGGAGATAAGTTGTTATGTGGAAGAAGATGATGGATAGGGTTTCTTGCTAATGGATAAGATGTTTAGGGTGTGTTTGGTTCAATGGAGGGGAAGGGAGGGGAGGGATTTTAATGGAGGAAAAGGGAGGAGAGGGGAGGTGATGTAAAATAATTTTACCTTGTTTGGATGGATTATTTAGGAGGAGAAGTGAGGGAAAATGATAAACCTTGTTTGGTTGATGAAGGAAAAATAAACTAAAATGACGAATTTACCCTTAATGAAATAAAAAAAAAAATTAAAAACAATTGAAAGTAAGGGCTAAAAAGTAATTTCATATCATTATAAACCACTTCCCCTCCAAATCCCTCCAATTTTGGAGGGGAGAAAAAGTGGGGGAGGGGAGGGAAAATCACTTAAAATTTTCCTCTCCCTCCCCTCCTAATTTTCCAACCAAACAAGGGAAAATTAAAATTCTCCCACCCCTCCCCTCCCCTCCCCTCCAAATCCCTCAAACCAAACAACCCCTTAGGAGATGAAAATGATCCAAGTCCACATATTGATAGGCGTGAGGGTAACTAGGGTTTCTATGTTTTGTTGGGCTCTTAAATTGAGCCTTGAAATTAATTTGCTCGGGCTTATAAAATAATTTTGATTTAGACCGAATAATTAAATATTGGACTCGGTAAATAAAATAATTAGACCGATTGGCCGAAATAAGAATGACTCACTTAAAAGGGCTCGAAAATTAGGCTCGTTCGCTAGTTCAATAAATTCCCGGTTTTAATAATACTTGATTAAAATTATAAATCGAGACTTAGACTTAGAATTTTATCTCGTTTCCGAAATAATAATTCGAACGTTTTCTTCATGGCTTAAACTTAGAGCTTAATAAATTATGCGATTAATAATACTAATTCTCGATATAATTAATATATATATATATATATATCTGGTTCGGGGCTTACACACAGTGTCTAGAAATCATTTTAGGAGTCTCAGATTTTCCAGAAACGGTTTCTAGTAGTAATGGCAATTATGTTATTTTACATGGCAAAATGACTATATTTATTATTTCATATCATACTCCTACAAAAAGCGGTTATATTTCATTGCTTGTTTGATAGGTTTCGAAGGTAGATATTATTAAGATTTAAGCTAGTACTTTTCTATTTTATTTATATTTTGAGTACTTTGCTACAACTGTTCTTGGTCATGACCCGGATGGCTTGAATTCTTATGAGCATTTTACTGCTGATGAATGTGTGCTGCTTTTTGGAACGTGTTTCAGAATGTTTTGAGATCTTATACTCTGCACATCAAATAGAACTTAATTCACGCAAGTTATGCAGTTGACATTTATTCACCTATCAAGACAGAAAATTCATCCCCAGCTTCATAAATAGTGTGATGTGTTCCACTATAAAGATGATCTAATCATTCCAATACTCAAGTAACAATAGATGGAAAGCCTGTGGAAACGAAACCAATACAAATGCCAATATATTTTACCCCAGAAGAAAAGGAAACAAATGGAAAAACGGTTAGAAGCGCCTATGCAATCGGTTACAAATAAATGCCTTGATACATTCAACACACATTTCTAAATCTCGATAATTATTGTTCAATTAAAAAAAAAAAAAATCAACCAATGCTCAAACGAGAATCTGATGATGATCTTAGGTTCGTTTGGCGTCTTGGGACCCCAATTTCACAAGCATTCACACGAGCTGCAAACCGAAGTGAACAAAGTGATTCACCCTCTGATGAAGGATCCGGAGAAACATTAACGAACATCAAAGTCTTTGAGTCTCCACCTAAGCAAGGCTGGGAAGACAACAGAAAAAAGTTTAGTTTTAAAACTTTTCAGTGCACTGATCAAAGAAATTAACAGCTAAAGCCATGGTCCGAGTCAGACATGCAAAAGTTCCAGTTTCAGCTAGTTAAGGTCTGATGATTGACTCAGATATGAAAACGAAACTTTTACTTCATATTAGCTGACATTCAAATGAGAAAAAAATAGCTAGAAATGTCAGACAAGAAGTTCTTTAACTTCATCAACCTAACTCAATAGAAGAAAGAGAAAAGTTCTGCTTCTCCAAGCACTCATGAAGAAGAAGAAGCTTTTCATAATTACTCTACTTAGGTGTAAAAGCCACGAAATATTCTAAAACCCAAGTATTTCTCTCAGTTAACAACTATACCTGAAGAAGATAGGTTAGCTTGGAGTTTCTGTAGGGCACATGTTCCTCCTTCTTGGCCAAAGCAAATATAACGTCACTTAATGATGATAAACTCTTATTGATGGCCTAGGTAAAATGCATTCAAAAGATTAGAGAGTGAGAGAACAGTTCTTTTCGATGAATTTGGAAAAGATCCATCTTACCTGAGTTTCTTTCAGTCGATCCCCTGTAGATCCGCTCTTCGACAAACGCTCACTACCGGCAAGGTCAATCAGGTTAAGAACACCTTGCACTTGCTGGTCAGTGTTCTAGTAACACAACAAAAGCAAATAGTATTTTTGTAAGTTGCGAATGTATTTAAAGAAAAAATATTAAGTTTGAGTTGAGCAACACTAGGTATACCTCATTAAAACCCATTATTCTTAATGTGAAGACAAAGTGACTCCTTGAAGACTGTTCGTTCATTTGAGTCTTGCCTACTGACCTGAATTTCATAAAAATCAAAACATCAAAGTCTTGGATCAGTGAATCTGGAAGATTGAACTTTCACAATGATTCTATAAGTTGTAAGGAATTAAGAGTGATACTCAACAATAAGTGCCGCAATGATCAAACCGTTTCAAGGCGCATTCTCATGCTAAGTAACAAAGGGATGAAAAGCTCATGTAAGCTACCTGCTTTGTGCTGCTCTTTCCAAGAGATAAGAAACCTCCTTGCTATTTCGAACATCCACAACCGTTAGATCAGAAACATGAGTGTTTCCATTGGCATCGTGTTTGATTGCATATTGCTTTCCAGCATTTTCTGCTCCTGAGGCATCAGAACATGTTCTATTCGGTGCTAGCAAGTCACGAATTGTTTCATTATATATTTCAAGCATTGAAACCTGAAAAAAAAAAAAAAAAAAGTTAATAACTGAACCAAAAATAACATAGTAAACAGGTGAAATTCTCCAGGTACCTGCATATCATACTTCCATCCTTGGGCTTGAAGAATTTTCCTCGTCTCAAACACCTGCTCTAGTGATCTTGGAATGATACCTTTCTGATCGGGTAGTCCTGGCTTACCCATCATTGTATGTGTCTTGCCTGAACCTGTTTGGCCATAAGCAAAGATGCATACCTGACATGAAATACATCAATATGATTATTATATAATTCGGCAATGAACACATTTACTAATTTCATAAAAGTAAAGGCGCAGTAAAAGTAATGTAAATTTCAGAGCTCACTTTTTTCCAACCCCTCATTTTTCACAAACCGGTTACTTTCAACCACAACTAAAATATAGCAATCAAATAAAAGATAAAATAAAGATAAAATTTAACCCACTGCAAACCATGTAATCATAAGAAATGGCTTGAGATTATAATAATAAACAAGTAATAAAACAGGAAGGATGATGTTCATTAGCATAAAAAGGTTCAAAGAAATTTCATTGGTTCTGTAGAAACCAGTGTCATCGACCTGAACTTATAGATAGTTCTAAATTATCAGGGGTCAATCATAGAGAATGGATGAGAGTCAATAAGAGTTCTTTGGGATTATGACCTTATAGCCATCAAGTGCACTCTGAACAAGCTGTGAGATCTCCACAAAAACATCTTCCTGAGAAGCATCGGGCATGAACACTTTATCGAAAGTGAAAGAAAGCTTTTGCCCTGATAAGTTAATGTCAAGTAGTGTGAAATTCAGTAAAGCAATGTTTACTCATATCCAAGGCACACACATAAAAACTTTCAACAACTATGCTCACCGTTGTGTGCCAAATCAATGCCTCGTCCCAATGTTTCCGTTGACGTTGGAAATGAGACAACTTTAGCATCGTTTCTGACTCCATCATCGGACAAAAGGGGCCTCACTCTACAAAAGACACGGATGTTCCCTTTCAACTCCTGCCATCAGCAAGAAATCATGCTCAATGGAAGAACAGAAAGACAGGATATTGCTATCATTGTGTTATATAATATATTCTCTAAAATGATTTAATGTAGTTAAAGAATTTATATCAAAATTGATCACTGATACCAGGATAGTGTTGTGCAATTTTTTGCGAAGTTTTTCCCCTTCTACAATCTTTGACTCTGCATCAGCAAGACGATTCTGTAACTCAAAAATGATTGTCTTTTGTTCCTCGAACTCAGATCTGACCTCCAATGCCGACATATCAGATAGCTAATAGAAGAAGCAAAACTTGGCTTCAATACTAATTCTAACGGTGCCACGGTTCTGTTAGCAAGTAACAAAACAAAAACTAGAATCAAATCAAAAGACCTTCAATTTCTTTTCTGAAAAAGCAAGCTGCTCCTGTAATCTTCTTATCTGCTCACTTTGAGACAAACATGTCGACTGCAAAATTAACAAGGAAGATGTTATTAACTTGTTAATGCATGTGTGAATGTTCATCGCATACTGGTATTTTAAAATGTACCTCGAGATCAGTTGTTTTAGTTGTCAAGTTGTCTAACTCGGCAATGGATTTTCCAGTACATTCTTTGTATTTTGCAACTTCAGTCAATAGAGCCTGGACTTGTAACAATTGTCGGTCTCGGTCATCTCGTACTTGCTGCAGATCACATCTCAAGCTAGTAACTTCACTACCCAGTGCTTCCTTTTGTTTCATAGCCTCATCTTGCAATGCCTTTAGAGAAAGCAAAATGACATGCTGATTAGTACAAGGAAAGTGTGATAGAAAGGAAACAATCAGCAGCCAGGGTACATCTTAAATAAATATAAACACGAGAGGTAATGAATGTCAAACAACTATCCAAGAAGAAATAGTGCAAATCAACGCTTAGGAGCAAGTCAAAAAATGTATTAGCTTAACATACTTATCTACTGAAGTTGCTTAAAACTTGACGACCATTTCAAGTACCAAAATCTAGAATAAGTTCATGTTATTCAGCATAAATTTTATGTTACAGCGCACTCAGTTCGAGTCATGCACAGGGTAAGTGGGGAACCACTATTGATCCTCTTTTAAAAAAACAAAGGAAGTCAGCGCAGTCACTGCACACCTATTTGGTACAATGTACAAATAATCAAATATGAGAAAACACGACTAAAACCAGAGTGTGAAATAAGCTAACCCCTGCAAAATGGTCAAAATGAAACCAAAACTTACTCTTGAGGACGTAAGCTGCTCTTGCAAGGAAGTATAGTGGCCCCTCAGTGTACTTAGGTTCTCTACTACTGCTGCCTTCTCCTTCTCCACACGCTTTAGTGTCTCATTTGTTGCCTGAAGTTCTGACTGCAGTCTACTATTATACTGTTGTAAGCTTGTGTTATACTCCTGTAATCTCTTATACATATCATTAAGTGTCTGTATCTGCAGAAAGAAAACAAAATAAAAAAAAATAAGCAACTTAGTGATCAGCTGTTTAACTTATCAAAAGTTCACTAAAAAATTTTCAGAGTGATATATGGATGTTGTACAATACTTTCTGAACGCCAGTAGCATTGTCTTCTTGAACTCGTTTCAGTTCTGCTGAAATGGAAGCTTGCAACTTCTCAGCAGCAAGTCTGTTGTCCTTCTCATTTGCCAAAGAATCTAATGCTTCCTATTTTTGATAGTTAGTTCCTCACTCTGCAAATTATAGCAGCTATAGAAACCATGATTCAGAATTTATTGTTTGATGGACAACATACCAATTTATCTCGTTCTTCATTGGCAAAATTCCCTTGCAGATCCTCCAATTTTCTGCGCAGCTCCATAATAATGGAATTCAACTCATCTTGTTTTGCTTTCATCAACGACTCTATAAGAATTAACATGTTAAAAGAAAGTTTACATTGCATTATCTAGCTAACCCAAACATGTTCCGGCAAAAATTAGAGGATGACCAACTACAGAACCAACCTTACCCATATCATTAGACCTCTTTTCTGCTACTTCCAACAAATCCTTTAGTTTCCCTTGCTCAGTAACATAATTTCCTTCGAGTTGCTGGAACCACTTTATACATTGCTTTAGCTTCTTTATGCACTCAGCCATTTGTTCGCTTTTTTCCTGCAATGAAAAAGGCATCCCATTTCAAATAGCCCATTGAAACACCAAAAGCCTGAACCTCATTTTCGCCTTACCAAATTACTGCGCCAATAAGCTCTTAATGATCTATGCCACATTGAAATTTAAAGCAAAACTAAAATACCTTGTAATTAAAATTTAAAGCAAAAATTAAAATACCTTGTAATTAAACTTGTTTTTAACTTTGAGCTTCTCGTTAAGTAGGGCTTCTACTTCCTCTTTGGTGAACTCGTTTACTCCACATTCGGAACCTGAACTGCTTGGTGGCCCACTAATTGGAGGTAAATCTTGCCCCCCATTAACTACCGAAAATGCTTTCCGCACCCTTATCCCAGTGTTGAGCGGCATTTTCCGTCTCCTTTCTACTGGAACCTTATCAACAATATACTTGTTCTGCAGAAACCCAACAAAGATAAAAAAAAAATAAATAAATAAATAAATAAATAAATAAATAAATAGAAAAAATCATCAATACCAGCACAAAAACAATAAATAGTTTAAAAACAAACGAGAAAGGATATCCCATAGACCATAGCTCCTAGCCTCCTAATCTCAAAGGGAAAAGAAACTCAAACAGAAATGAACTGGGTTAGCTCCCTTTACTGAACTACCCAACGACATCTATCGTAGAACTAGTAAAATGTAGTTTTCACGAAATTCATTACCAGCCTCTGAGATACCTATAATCATCGAAGAGTTGAAAATTCCCCATCTCGTAAGAAATTAAACATATTAAGAGATTAATTTGTGAAAGAAACAGTAACCTGTGAAGGACTGGACGGAGGCTTGTTCTGGTTGATGGTAGCCATGTGAATAAGCGTGTGGGCGTAGAACTGTAGATACACGGATATAGGAAAAATTAGGGTTTCTCAAAATTCAATTGCTGGGCACTGGTTTACTGCACTCGTTGCTACAAAAAAGTATTCTTTTTCTGACAAATCTTTGTGTGAGCCTCAGAAATCAGAGAACGGGAGAGCAAAAGGACGATGAAATTTGGGGGTAAACGAGAGTGGCTCTGTTCCCTTTTGCCCTCTGTTTTTCAAATTGAGCTTTGTATGGAATCAACTCTGTCTGTAGTGGAATTAAGATTGGGTTGCTTGAGGACAATGTGGCATTAAGATCTGGGCGGAGAAGAGCGTTTGCAGACACAAAAAAAAAAATGTTGCAGGTCGGATTTTGAAAGTTTTCGAATTGGATTATGGCGGACACTTTTCACATGGATCCGTTAAAACCCAACTTGACCGTTTTATCCCTGCTAGTTCCTTGTGTTGTGTACTTGTGTATTCTGTTTTCAATTTGAAATCGGTTCGTGAAAGTTTGGGACCGGTTCGCTTATTTATTTGAATTAATCAAGCTTCAACTGGTAGTCGAGTTAGTTTAAATTTTAATAAATGAATTTAACTGACGGTTTTGCTATGAAACCAACAGTAGGCTTCATAATGGAGTCAACCTTCTATATACAAGTAAATCTACCATATTCTCTTATTACTTAAATAACATTAATATAATTATATTAATATGGTAAATTTATTTGTTGTATACAGAATGTTACTCCACTATAAGGTCAATTGTTAGTTCCATAACAAAACCAGAATACTTTATATTTGCAAATATCTTATTTATAATTTTTTAGAATTATCAATTAGTTGAGTCTAGATTAATAGCTTATGATTGACTTGCCTCAAAGACACTCATAATTGTTCTTTCATTAATGTTTCCAACCACGTCATTTATTTTTATTTTATTTTAAGAGATAGACTTTATAATAAAAAAACTTAATTACAAATTAGATAGCAGTCAATTAGTCGAATAAATCATATAACCAGCTGAATCTAGTTGAGATGACTATACCAAGGGCAACCTAAAACCAACGTAGAAACAACCAAACACACAAACACCAATAACTAAAAAGCTCTCACATGTGGAAAATACAGACTCCTAACGGGAAAATAAGGAAAAGAAAAAAGGAACACCAAAACAAAAGAAAAAACCTATAATATACAACAAAATAGAAAACAACCTAAAACTTAGACTACACTAAGGGGTGATTGGTAAGCAATTAAAACCAGTTAAAATCATTCCAAATCGATCATGAGTTTATTTTGTATGAAGTTAGTTGAGTGGAATGAGAGCGATTATAATTAAATTATATTTTAAATGTAATTATTAAAATTGATGAGATGTGTTTGGGTTATGATGGTGTGGGGAGCTAGTTCGTTGTTCTCTCGGTTGGAGATGGATCGATTTGAGAAGGGTTCGGGGCTCGGGTTTGACTTTTGTATAGGCGGTTCCGCAGTTTCGATAGTGGCTCCTCGGGCATGCGCTCTTTTTGGGCCGGTTGTTATTATGCTGACTTGGGCTCGTTGGTTGGCTAAGGAAGGTCCTAATCTATCGATTTATAGTTTTCAGTTTTCGTCTGTCTTGAGTCTGTGTTTGTGATTTTTTTGGTCTTGTTTTTTTTTTTTTTTTTTGGGTCGTTGGCCTATGTGAACCCGACTGTGTGCGGGCATTATCCCTTGGGGATCGTCCTATTCTCCGTGGAGAGCTTTATATGTGTGTTTTTTGTGTTTTTGTGTCTGTCTTGTCGTGAGTCGGGTCTTTGATTTCTACTGTTGCTAATGTCGGTTCTAGGCAGTCATATGACTTGTCCTCCCAGTTTATTCAGTTGTTAGTTATATTATTCAGCTAAGAGCTGTATCTTTACACATTTGTGCGCTTTGATCTATAAAATTCACCAACTTAATTTTGTCTAATTAGTTGGAAGGAGAAAGTTACCTAAGGGGTGATTGTTTATGAATTTGACTAGTTTTTAATTGGTATTTTTTTTAACTATAGTTAAGTTTGAAAAAAGTTAGTATGGTTAGTTGGTAGTTGATATATTAAAATAATATTTAAAATAAAATAATTAAAATTGATATGATGAAAAGTAAGAGAAAAATGATTGGAAGTGATGGTTAGTTAAAATTTTATGAGTGGATGAATAGTGAATTAAAGTTGATGTGATGTACAAAAATGATTGGTTAAATGATTGGTTGATATTATTTAATTATATTAATAATATTTGAGATAGTGGGATTGGTTAAAATTGAGTTAAATTTGAGTTTTGATTAAATTTTTTTGAGTTGAGATGATAAACAATCACCCCCCTAATACGCTAGGTTATAACTATTTTATGATGAAAGTCAATATTTGTGGAAAACAATTAATAATATAGTTAAGACTTAAAATTTATTTATTTATTTATTTATTTATTTATTTATTTATTTTTGGTAGTCAGCCACGGTATCCGGAGCTATCCCCCGACTAATACGTTGGTCGACACGGGTCGCACACCTAGCAGTGGTGGGTGAGTCTCCCAACAAAGGTTTTCTGCATCCACAAGGACTCGAACTCGAGACCTTGTGTGGACCAAAATATTATCAATACGAGTCACATAAAATAAAATTGTAATTTATAAAAACAAATATCAATAAAATTATTACAAATGTAAATAAAATTATTCAAGGAAAGATTTTTTTTTGTCATATCTAATTTGAAAATATGTATATGGCTATATGCAAGCAATTAATGCATATATATATATAAAAAAATCAAATAAGGTAAACATTAAAATGTTTCTAATTTTTTTTATTAATATTTTAGTAAATGAATCTTTTTCCATATTTAATTTATATATATATATATATGAGATTATGTATTTTCTTTTGAAAAAAATATAAAATATATGAATGGACCATCTAATCACCTTCCACTTCTCATTAATTTTCGAAGCTCACAAATAATAAAAAAAAAAAAAAA